AACATGAACTCACGTTTCGGATATCTAGCAGGTGCGGGAGTTACATCTCTTCCCCTTACATCACTTAGACTCCACTGAGGTTGGAGAATGAAAAGAAGAAAGCACAAGTGCTATGGTTTCTCTTCTTCTAAAGACACTAATGTCAGCCCAGGCCCACGCTCTAGATCTCATAAAACCTTAATTATCCCCCAGGGCCTGTCACACTAAGGGTAGGCCTTCAAATATGAATGATGAAAGGGAAATATAAGCATTCAGCCCATAACACAACCTCATGCCATGAAACAGTTCACCATGAAGCCTCAGTGTGATGCCCCACATGTCTGTGAGGTTCCCCAATCTCTTCTGTGCTCACACATGCGTTTGGGGCCCAACTAAGGCTCACCTCAACCAGACTAGTTCAACTGTCTCCCTCTTCTCACCCAGTTTTCTTCTCACAGTGGTAGAAGAGGAGTGAGAGAGGGTAAAAACCCTCTCAGCATCTGGTTATTAATTTGCCTTTTGGCCAGGTTGCACATAGAGCCGTCCTACTAATCCACTCCGCTTCTGGACAGAATGAAGACGAGACGAGCTGCCCTCTTGGTAGAAGCTTCCACCCCCTCTGATGGCATTGGAAGTGTGTAAGACTCCTAGGCTGGGGATTTAGCTCAGTGGTGCCACTGCCTGCCTTCGAAGCACAAGATCCTGAGTTTAATCCCTGGTACCAAAAATAAGACACAAAAAGACTCCTGCCAGCTAGTTTCAGGGTGATTGCCCTAAACAGTATGTGATGGATATCCTGGATGTGGTAGTATTGTAGACAGCTGAGCTACTTAGGAAGCAGTAGCTATAAGATAGGCAAGGCCACCCGCCAGGGAGTCAGTGCAGAAGACAAGTGAGGCCCATTTACTGAAAGCCAGGATTTAAAAAAGAGGAACTACCACATTTACATACTTCCCCTAGGGACGAACAGCAGTGACTGATATTCTAGATTATTATCAATTACCTTGGGTGGGGACCAAAATCTCCCCAGCCCATTCATTCCTGGACATCCTTGTTCCGTCCACAGTATGCTCCCTATGAGATTAGCTTCCCCGTTTGGTCCCCAGATAATCGACATTATCTAAGCCAGAATAGTTGTTGTACTCTTATGGGCTGATCATAGTTTTGTCCACCTTGTGATTTCCCATTGGGTCAATGTTACCTAAGTGACAATATTTGTAATCTTATTAGTTAACTGTACTTCTGTCTCACCTTGTACCCACCTCACCTTGTGGCTTTGCTCGGTAAGACACCTTTGGAAAATGGAGAGAGGGGGGCAGGCAACCCACCTTCCAGACCCCCTTCTGTCTCTCTTAGACAGAAGCTTTCTTTCTCTCAGTAAATTCTTCCTACTCTTAACCTCCATTGTTCCTAGAATTCATTCTTCGCTCTTAGACAACAAAAACTTAGTGTTTAAAATATCTAGCAGGTTGGGAGTTATAATATTTCCCTTACATTATTTGGATTATTTGGAGGTCCTATGTCATATGCCCTATATCAGTAGTACACATCAGTGATCCTGGCTATTTGGGAGGCTGAGGCAGGAGGATCATAATTTTGAGGCTAGCCTTGGAAGCTTAGCAAGACTTTGTCTCAAAATACAATTAAAGAAAGGGCTGGGTTCTTAGCTCAACACTCTCTGGGTAGAATCTCCAGTACCATAAATACTAGTAATATTTACTGTAAAATTTCATTCTACTGTGAAATAGTTAATTAACACGTTAACCCTAGTTAAAGCAGCATTTGCCACATGGGGGTATGGTAAGACTAGAGTGTTCAGTTAAATCAAGACTTTGAAGGGCTGGGAATATGGCTCACTGGTAGAATCACACACACACACACACACACACACACACACACACACACACACACGTGACAGGCAGACCCAGACTGGCCTGAACTTGCTGTGTAGCTGAGGGTGGCTTGACACCTGCCATCCTCCCCTCTCAGCCTTTTGAGTGCTGGGATTATAAGCAAGTGCCACCATGTCCAACCAAAAATAAAACTTTTTAAAAGAGGTAGGAGCTGGAAGTGTCACTGAGTAGTAGAGCCCTTTATTAGGATGTGCAAGGCCCAGGGTTCTATCCTTAGCACTGCAAGAAAAAAAAAGTCATTCAGAAAACCCTGTTCCTTAGGCTGGGAAGAGAGCTGGAAATGGTTTAGACAAAGTGAAGTACCCCGGGCCTCTCTGCAACAACGTCTAGTTCTCCTGAGAAAGATAATGCCACATCCTGAACAGTTACAAGGTGTAGGGAAAGAAGGAGACAAAAGAGCTATTATTATCCACACATCATGAAAAAAAATGTTTTAATCTAGATGGGGATTTAAACAGAAAATCTGGGGCGGGCTATGAGCTTCTGAGTTGTCAGGATAATTGAGAACAGGCAATTCCCTAAATGATAATGAACTAATGTAGAAGAAATGTGTTTTTTCAGCACTAGAAACAGGTTGTACTAAAATATCAAATTTAGGGAGGTCCCAGAGAGACAGTTTGACACATGTCTCTCTGAGAGTGAGGATTGGCTGCAAAGTGGAGCCCATCAATACTTTTATATCACTGTCACCGCGTCCCCTCCCCTGAGAAGTGAGGGCCCACGGCCCATGCCACTTGTCACAATAGCCCACCCTTCCTGCAGGGCAGTCCCACTCAGCCAGAAGAGGTCCCTGCTCAGGAGCAGCCCAGGGGAGGAGCCCCGGGAAAGATGAATGTCCAGTACTTTCCAGAGTCCCCTCAGTTGTCACTCAGCCAGGGAAGCCACAAGTCAACTCCATGCACGACCTCAAGCGAAGCCCTGCTTCTGTTTCTCCTTCTGTAACAGTGGATAGGAGGCAGGCTGGCGGGCCCAGTGCCAGGCCGAGTGCTTACCCTTTATCCCCTGCCTGCCAGCCACTTGTCTCAGACTGTACCTCACAACGTGGGGCAGCTGGGTCCTCTAAAGCAGGATCGGGGTCCTGCTGGGGTGTGGTGATCCTGGCCCACCCTGGGGCCCCATCACATGCTCCTGTCCCTCTGGCAGGATGAGCCCAGGCCCTGGAACGCTGGGAACGGAGAGGAGTCCACGTTCGGCTTGCTACAGTGGCTCTGGGACACAGGGTGAATGCGGCCACAAGGTCGCTGAGGAGTGGGGCAGGCGGCTGCACTTAGAAAGCGGGAGATGAGAGGCCGAGGCTGGGACGGAGATGAGAGGGAGCTGTATGTAAGTTCTTCCCACAGAGCTAGAACACAAAGATAACTGAGAGTGAGCTCTATCGGCTGATCAGCATTCACGATTCCGTCCCATGGCTAGATTTCCAGGCAAAACTATGAGGAAATGAAGGTTTTATCCAAAAGCAGCCAAACAAAGCAACTTTCATGCTATGCCCATTCAGTGCCATCTTTTGTTATTTATTTAATTATTAACCTGAGGTGATTCAGGAAAAAATGCAACTTAGAAGATACCCTTCAGCTGTATCGGAAAATCACCCCAACCTATAGAAAAAGACAAACACAAAAGGAAACCAAGGAAATGAGTCTATAGTGCTCCTCAGAAAGTAATAATGTCTCCACCTCCTGCGGCTGGGCCTATTTTCTCCCTTATCTGCCTGCTCACCGGGTGTTTTCTATCAGTAGATGGACACTGTACTGAATATGACAAAATAGGCTACTTTTATACTAAGAAGAACTCAATAAAACTGAAACACATAAAAGCCCAGTGCTTATAGATTTTTATTATGATTTGTTTCAACCAGGCTTTTAAAAATTCTCTGATGTTGTGAGAAGGGTAAGCAATGTGTCCTACAGGATGAGACAGGTGTCAGGAAACACAGCTCACAGGTCTATACACAGACAATCCCTTCCAAAAATAAAAGCCCACCTTTTAGAGGGAATCATGGCCAAGCTCAACCTTACCCCCAAGCCTTGGGACAACTTGCTTTATGTCAGTCCGCTCGATGATGCTGTACACCAAGGAGGTGGGCTCAGGGTGCATCTTTCTATGAATCTTTCGTGAAGTATTTTCTGTCTTAAGCAATGCTAATCTGTTTGATACTCATAGAGATGGATGAGGGGCCTTGGGTGTCAGCAGAGAGCCAGGCAGATGGCAATTATGACAGTAAATAATAACGATGCTTTTCACTTCTGTGGCCTTGACAATTCGAGGGTCTCAAAACACAGCAGAAACTTAGAATTATTGGGAAAGGGCATCGCATTCATCTTTCCAATGTCTTGCACAGAGCTCAGACTAAACCAGATGCTCCCATGAGCCCTGGTGCCGGGTTACTGTGGGTTCTGCAGTGTTGCTGATGAGATGCACACTCAGGGTACAGAGTCACGTGGTGGCTTCTTCGTTGTCCCAGGAGGAATGGAAACTTTGAGGGACAGATGACACAGAGAGCTCCAGAGCCTTCTGGGTGAGGTGACCCAAAGAAAAGTGGCTAAAAGCAGTTTGGGTGCAGGAGGCAGGGTGCACTGAGGGCAGCCCCGGCAGGGATCGGTCACTTTGGCCACCAGAAGGAGCCGCCCCAGTGCAAACCCTGCTGACACAGACCCATCACCTCTTCCTGGAATCTGCACAGTGGGTGGCAAACCTCCAGGAGGAGGGGCCTTGTAAGTGTTGTAAGATGGGGGCCTCGTAAGTGTTGCTTCCTCTTCTTGGGCTGTTAGATGCTAAGAGGGGACTTGGCATGGGATGCAGGTGGCCACTCCTCTCGCCATCACTGTCCCACCCTGTAACAGAGCACTCAGTACCCAGCAGTGTGCCAAGATTTGCAGAGAGAAAGAGGACCTGTTAAGGAACAAGATCCGAGACTGTCCCCAAAGAGGGGAAAGGTACAACTCACCCTACCCAAAGGATAGATCGTAGGCTCGCTGAGTTACATCACAATGCATCAGTGAGGGGCATAAAGAAGTTTATTAGGCAGAGTTTGAAGGACACACTCAGAGAGAATAGAACGCAGCCCTTGAGGGAGAGGCGTGCTACGGCACGGGCTGGGACTGCCACGGAGTCTCGGGGTGCTCTCAACACAGGTGATCTAGGCTGAGGATTCCTGGCCAACGGTCTTCTCATCTGATGAGCAAGGTCAGCGTGTGAACCAGCTGCATGTATCGGAAGTCAGATACAGAGATGGAGATCTGTGGGGGGAAGAGCGGTGTGCAGGTGAAAAGCTCAGGCCCGGAGCCCAATTCCAGGCTCACTGCGTCACTAGTCCCATAGGAGGTTTCTGATGTGTTTTCACATCAGATGTTTCTGATGTGTTCGTCCACATCTGCAGTGCAAAATGATCAAGTCATCATGGGGAGCTGGGTCGTGCACACAGCATCTCTTAGTTCTTCGTACTGCCCCTCCCTTCCCTCCCTCCCTGCGCATCTTGTTGAGACCCCGAGGAGGGTTTTTCAGAGTGACCTGCCTGAAAGAGAAAAAGGCATTGTAACCCTGAGTGACTTCTGTGACTGGGGGCTGCAGTGTCTCTTAAAAGTATAATTTTAAACTTACGACTTCCTCATCTCCATCTTACCTATTGTTATTGCTTCTGTCCTACCTCAGATCCAAAAAGGACAGAGGGGGAAAAGAAGTCTTCCCTTCAGTTTCCCTCATCCCCTATTTCCAAACCAGAAGGGCCTGTTTAAGGCAAATGTCTTACAAATTGGTCAGAGGAATGTTACTAGACTTGTCCTGGGATCAAAAGATTCTATGTCTCTCTGACACTCTCTGTCCCCTGTGGATCCCAGGACGCTAAGAAGCCCAGTGTGGCCACAGGCTGGCTCTGGCTCTCTGTCCCTGGTCTCTCCCTCCCTTCACAGAGCTCACTTACTCTCATCTCCTTAGGGGAAACAATCATCTCTTCTTTGAGCAGACGACTGAAACTATCCCTACCTGTAAGGACCCTTAACAACGACCTTGTTCCTGAGATCCAAATAAGAAAGGCTTTGGGGGTTATTCTGGATTGAGATGGCGTCCAAAATGAGCACCTGGAATTGAAGAAGTTTTTAAATTTCTCCACTTCCTGTTTCTGTTTTTTTACGTACTTGTTACGCAATCAGAAAACTGACCTTCAAATAACAAATGAATGCCCGTGAGAGCAGCAAAGTGTTAAAGAAAAAAAATGAGTAACTTTTTTTCATAAAAGTCCAATTTATGACTCAATTACACTCTACGAAGTAACAGCATAGTCAGAAATAAACCCAGGTAACATCAGCACAAGACCGAAGGACCCTAATGTCCAGAGTGTTCCAAAAATTTAATTGTACCTCCAAGGCAGGGACCTACCTACAGCAGAGAAAAATACAAGCGCTATAGTATAGTCAAATGCCGCCACCTGGTGGCCAAAGGTGGAATAAGCATGAAGGCTCAGTCAACCTTGTAAATAGATAAGCCATACACACAATAACTATTAACCAAACAGTTTCGGCAAGTCTGCAGCCAATGAGCAGTAGAAGTCGGAATTCTGAAAGAACAAAGCCAATTTTGAAGCATCTCTTTTGTTAAGCCTCACAAGTATGAATGAAAGACTCTTAAATTGCTTTCTTAAATGAGCCTGTTTGGTTACCAAACACAGATACATAAAAACAGCAGGTATCAAGTATGCAAACTCCTTCCATCATATGAAAACCCCAGCCACCTATCCCTGATATACAGGGCTCTGTGGTGAAACAATTACAAGACAAGAAAGGAAAGTATGACCCGGTCACTCTGAGAGGCCACTTGTGAGCAAATTTAAGTAAATATGGTCTGTAAGAGACTCCTTGCAATAGTGGTCGCAGGAGTTTGGAAATGAAATTCCCCTTGTGTAACAAGCACATCTTTCATTTCCCCCTCCTTTGTCAGTCAAAATGCACTTCAGCGTGTTAAAGAACTGATGTAAAGAAGTTTAACTTTGCTTAACTCAGCAAATTTCTCTGACCTCTGAATAGGTCAGTACTTTTCTTTTCAATTTTCTGTCCTTGAGTTTTTTTTAAAAAACTATTATTTGGTAGGTTTTCTAAAATATGATTCAGAGAACCGGTAAAACTCAAGTTGAAATGCAAATGAAGTCTCAGTTCTTCGTCTAGCTGTGTGGTATTTTGGAAAGTTACCTAAGCTCTGTGTCTGTAATTTCTTCAGATGTGAGCCAAAAGCAAAATGGTAGAGAGAAAAAATACCTTTACCACAGCCTTTTTTTTTTCTGAGATAAGGTCTCATTACGTAGTCCAGGTTGTCTTTAAATTCACTATGTACCCCAGTTGGGCCCGGAACTCATGGCAATGTTTCTGCTTCAGCCTCTGAAGTTCTAGGACTACAGGTGCTCACCACTGAATCCAGCTTCCTTCTGATGTTTCTAAGTCATTGTCATTGTTCCCCATGCCCCATTCTAACAACCTTTCACTGTATGTTATCTAAGACCACCCACACTAACCATTGAAAGTAGGCAACTGAAGACACACATTTCCTTCCCCTCCTCAAACCCTATAGGCTATGAAAGAATAAAAAGGGGCATTAACTTATAAGGAGCAAAAAGAATAGAAGAAGGAACAGTCAAAGACACTCAACTTCAAAAAAAAAGCCTGAAGAGCCAGAGGTTTAGCTCAGTGGTGCCACCTGCCTTGCAAGCACAAGGACCCGAGTTTGATCCCTGATACCAAAACAAACAAACAAGTCTGAAGACAAAGTAGTAAGCAGAAAGATAGCTAGAGTAGTTATACAGTGAACAGACCATATTTTTTTCTTTTTTCTTTTTATTTTTTATTAGTACATGTCTGTAGTATGTAATGATCACATTCCTTGTAGGGAGGTGGAACATGTACGTAACACATCTTAATTCTTTCTTCACCCACTTACTCTCTCCTCCTTCCCCCTTTCCCATCTTGGTCTCTGTTGTCTATCTTTTATTTTGCTCCTTATTTATAGTTGGGTTTCTCTTACAAGAGTAACTATGCAATATTTAAGCTTCTGTGTCTGCTTTAATTTACTTAAAATCAGGGCCGGTGATTTAGCTCAGTGATTCTGGCACCTGCCTCACAAGTGCAAAGACCTATGTTCAATCCCCAGTATAAAAAACAAAAATTTACTTAAAATTATGGTCACAAGGTGCATCTGCTCTCCTACAAATGATTCAGGTTTATCTTTCCCCGTGGCAGAGTAAATGGACAGACTATATTTTCCACAGATGGTTAAAACACCGCCTCCCACCTGTGTTCTTCAACAACATGACTTTAATATTCTCCCACCAGAAAGTATAGTCAAGCCAGGAATGGTGACACATACAGTCCCAGTGTTGGGGAAGCTGAGGCAGGAGGATTGAGAATTTGAGGACAATCTAGGTGAGAACTGTCTCACAGAAACAAATCAAAAGGAAAGTGTAGTCTGATTTCTGTCTCCTTGTGTCTGCTGGTCTTAAATCCATAAATGTGTGTGGTTCTACCTTGGCTCTACAGCCCTTATCCTTGGAACTCTCTCTCTCTTAGGTTGTACCTACCATGCAGTGAGGGAGCCCACACCATGTGAAGCAGCTCTTGAGAAGTAGGGGCTCCCACGCACTGGCCTAGATGAGCACAGCTTTGAGTTATCTCAGCCAGGAAGTAGGCAGGGGAGGAAAAAAAAAGCCTTAGTCAGAGACCTCTTCCCTCAACACTTTATCAAAATTAATACCCACAAGAAGAAAATGTCAGAGCAATGATTAGCAGCAAAATTCAGCCTCTCCGAGTGAAAGGGCCCTCAAGCCAGACCCCTGCCCAAGCAGACCTGTTACCTGCATGCACAGGAGCACAGAGATAACAAGAAGCCAGCAGCCGCTCTGCTGCTGTCACCACCACCCTGTTTATCAGCCAGTCCTAGGCCCATCACCCATGGAACTCTAAAATTTTCCAGCCTCTTGATCAGTGCCCCTCCCTACCATTTTAGGCCTACCTAAAATGCCCCATATAACCGTGAGCACCCTCTTCTCAGTGCCAACGGCCTTCTTGCCCTTGGCCCATCTGCACCCAGATGGCAATAAACTCATTGCATGTTGTTTAGACTTGGTCTGCCTTGGTGGCCTCGATTGTACTTCAGTCTGACCTTACACTGAGATCCAGAGTCCAAACACTGAAAAATAACACCTTGGAGAGAGAGAGAGAGAGAGAGAGAGAGAGAGAGAGAGAGAGAGAGAG